ATCTTCATCAATGTCAGATGGAAACTGGTGGTGAAAATCGATTAAAAATTTAAAAAAAGGCCACCCACTGCTCCTGTTGGTGCAGCGTCGCCGGCACCCTGCTGCCGGTCTTGTCCTTGTCACCGCCACCACCCATTGACCAAATCCACGCAAGGAGAGCAAGGGGTGGGCCTCCAGCCGTTGCCACCGCGCCAGATGTTGCTGGTCCATCTGATGCACCTCTCGCCGATCCCATCGTGTATGGGGTCACCCCGCAGGGGCCACTACTCCCAACGGCCCACTCTGGGGTGTTGCCACTCCCTAGAGGCTACCGCTGTCGGGCTGCCACGGCTGCCGAGAGTCACATGGAGGGAGAGATGGAGGGAGCGAGCAAGAGAGAGAGGGAGGGAGCGAGCAAGAGAGAGAGGCATTTCTTCACATGGTGAGAGAAATAGAGAACACACACATGGTAGCGAGGAGCCAGTGGGGCTGAGGATCTGCATGGTTCACGCTCATCCATTCTCGGGGCGACACACGGATGCATAGGCCCTGCCTGTTAGCCACCCAGAGAGAACACAAGCGGTCGGTGACAGAGACAAATGCAGAGGCTTTTCCGAATTGGTGTTACCTCAGGTCTTCTCCTGAATCGGCGGTGAAAATGATTTTCACTGCCGGTTTTATTCTTATGTAGGATGAAATATTATCATAATGGTTTTAATAAAACTGGGAGTGAAAATGACGTTGGAAAATACCGTTTCTATAGTAGTGTTCATAGAAGTTAGCAAATAATAAGCATTGGCATGGACATCTCTGGATGAGGTATAAGGTTGCGGAAGTTAGAAAATGATGGACTTGTGGGTAAAGTTATGCACTTCGAACTTGGCTTAGCGTCGACTAGTGAATGTAAGGTTTTGAATTTATGCTTGGGCTTGGCCCAAAGATGTAACAACATCATGCGCGAGCTTGACCCCAATGGATACACATCTCGACATTTCTTATGGGCCTGGCTTGTGGGGATTCATGAAGCCCACTTTTGCAATTTGACTCTTTTATGACAACATGAGACCGATAAAATTATGTCGTACTTAACTAGGCTCCCATCATGGGCAACCAAACCATAGCATATTGTGGCGGCCCATAAGTATCTCACACTGAGCTCGATTAATTTGTTAATTTGGTCAAGCTTAGATTTATACGCAGAACCTAGCTATTTACCATCTAGATAGTTAAGTTGCAAACATTTGCTAAATAGGGAGAAATTAATAATATTAGTAATTTATAATTCAATTTAGCATGATGGGAAGAGGGGATTTGCTGGAGCTTGAATTGCTACGTGGCAAATTAGGAAGGACGAGTAGTGAGAAGGAATGGGGTGAAGTAGCAACAGCCTCATTAGTTTTTAGATTGCTGAAGCTTCCTATATATATCACAATCGTGTAAGACATCGGGTGTATATAAACTTGTGGCGAGAGGTGACGCGAGGCGAGAATTTAGACTTATTATTTGCCATAGAGGACTTAATTAAAATTTTATTAAAGTTTCAAACTATCTTAGTACTAGATTGGCCAAGCTCCTGACATTAACTTGGAAATAAATGCTTATTTTCCTCCTTATAGAGCGTTTGGATTCGTATTGTGACCTTACAAGCAGTGGCTAGAATTGTTGAAGCTTACTCTTGTGCATGGTTCGATGGTGATTCAAAACAACTTGGTCCATGTTTGTGCCTGCAGGTGGTATCAAAATGAACTATTTGTTTTGTCTCTTGACATCTTTAAATGTCAATACTGTTGTTTCACACTATATTGAATGTATTTGCCTTAAAGTTTTTATGGAAAGCGTCGCCGTATCATCCTACTTCAATTGCAGCTTGTCTATACTATCCTTTGAGAAGATACCCATAGTATCCATTAGCACTTTAGTAGTTACTCTACTTAATTAGCTAGGCTAGGTTCTAATGAGTTCGACCTTCTAGGCAACAAAGAAGACCCTCCAAATACAATGACAGTTGACCACTACATAATTTAAGAAAAAAGAAACATTTTTTTATGTTTTGTCAGTGACATATTTTCCCAATGACTTTGAGTGTACAATAAATTTGTGCAACATAACTCTAACATACTCACTGTCTCTCTTGATCTTCTATCTAGGTCAAGCATGCATTGGTAAACACTATGTTACACTAAGGCACCTTAATGAGGACAATTTTCTCTCTCATAAGTTTGTGGATCCATGTGGAAAGAGGTGGCAGGGGGAGGGGGATTATGTTGATTTAGCTCCTCTAGTCGACTGAGGAAGTATACATATTGGAGTATTTTACTAATCAAGAACAACCCAACAATAAGTTATAAAAAATACTCTTGATATATAGCACATGAGCACTATGTCCATTGATATATCTATCATACAATAAGAATTATGATGACAGTGTTGCTTGTGTGGACTCAAGCATAACCTATTCACACCAATCTGATTATTGCTCCGATTAACCATAATTTGAGTTTTGTTCTAGGTCAAACCTATACATAATGTACTTAGACGGATGTGTAGGACATTGTACAAGTGTAGGTACAATTCTAGTAGTAGTGTTGTGTGTAAGGGTCGTCAAGGGGACAAAGATTGCGTATGTTTTCTCCCACGTGTGTGTGGAAGTCATAGAAAAAGGGATCTCTTATACTTGATGACAAGAACACAACTATAAGCCACCAGAGACCAATAATTGTATGTAGTGTGTGAGAACACACCCATTAAATCGATCATGTGTGACAACACAAGTGTTAATATCAACAAAATAGGGTGTTTTTTGTCCTTGATGACAAAAGAATGCTTACAATAAGCCACTAAAACAAATGTAGTGCTTTGTCTATAATAAAAAAATGAAGAAAAACATTAACTTTGCCAATAACACATTATGTGAAGTAATTGAGAGTAGTTACAATCAACCTTTCGTGTGTGTGTGTGTGTATATATATATATATATATATATATATATATATATATATGAAAAATCCTTTCTACTCCTAGAATGTAGCTACACCCATATGTGTATCTCAAGATTAGGCTCGATGAAGTGTATACATATGATCATACTAGATCATCTAGGATAGTATGGATGTCAATTATGTAAGTATACATAGAGTATGTGGTTATACTTATTTTATATACTACTATGATGGTATTATAATAATAAACTAAAAAATATAGGCTCCTTTGAAAAAATTTCATGTAGTAAGATTTGGAGTATCTTAAAATGAGTATATAAACATACTCAAACTGATAAATGAGTATGCACTATACACCCATGCACAAGGTGGTTTATTAAAAATGGAAGTAGCTACACCTAGGAGTAGGAAGCTCTCTCTCTCCAAGCACACACATGCACACTAATTAAGCATAACATAATCAGTTGTCTATTTTGAAATATAAAGACCACAATATTTGCTTACAACCACTACTACAGATTGCTCATCACTGCTGACTCCAAAGACCACATCATCACCGTTTTTGCCCATCGATGGTGAAAGTGGGTGCTGATGAGGTGAGCTATCACGGCCGGTTCAAACCGGTGTGGAAAATGGTCATCATCGCCGACTCCTTTTGTGGACCAGCAGTGATAATTATAGAAAAAAAAAAAAACACCGACCGAGCCCACTAGCCTTGCCTGTCTACTACTGCTAGAGGGACTGCGGCTCCCTTCCCGTACATCCATCGGGAAGAGGGGTGAGGAGGAGGAGTAGGAGGAGGAGGGGATAAGAGAGAGAGAGAGAGGTGCAGTCGAGAACTCAGGATGAGGTTGAGGGCCTGTTTTGTTCCTAAAAATATTTGCGTAGTACCCATCACATCGAATCTTGCGGTACATGCATGGAGTACTAAATGTAGACGAAAAAAAACTAATTGCACAGTTGGGTGAGAAATCACGAGACAAAACTTTTGAACCTAATTAGTCCATAATTAGACACTAATTGCCAAATACAAACGAAAGTACTACCGTAGCCAAAACCCAAAATTTTTTGCATCTAAACGCGCCCTGAGTGGAAGTGGAGGCTACTAGGGTTTCCCATTATATATTCTAATAACGATGGCAACCCTACCCATAGATATTGTACACGACAGGTGTAGGCCTGGGTATAAAATTTCAATCACAGGTGTGGGTATGTCGCATCACTCATTAATGCTACAAGTACAAATAATTCTACCTATTCTAATGATAATCTAATTCATGGGTGACGGTATCCATATGTATCTAACCAGTGTGGACACAAAATCTTACCCATAGGTATGGTTGCAGGTATTAAATTTGACCTGGTAGACAATTTGTGGTGGGTGGGTAATTACTGCACCCCCACCTTATTATCTGACCCGCTGTCATCCCTATACTCTGAGGCCATTCACAAGCTAAGGTGGACCAGACAGGCCTTTTACAAAGATAATAAATGTGCAAATTTTTTCACCAACAGTTGGTACAACGAACTATTTGTGCAAATGATTGTCACCGTCAGATCATATTATGACAAAATGTGGTTGGCGAAAACTATTTCTATAGTAGGGTGACACTGCCCGCCGGGAAGCTAATCATCTAAGTCCACTCTTGCCCCTAAAAATAACTCAACACATCAGATTAGGCACCGGCTAAAACTAGTCCAAAATTAGATAGAAGATATAGAGAGGCAAAAGTAAATGCATGCAAAATAACCCACAGTGCAAAAGGAGGGATAGAAATAGCGCATTGTTGTGTACATTTTTTGCACATCAGTGGCTGTGGCTCTAGCCGGGGTCCTCCCTCGCGCTCGTCGGCCCTCCGCTAGCAGGGCCTCGCATTTCACGTGCTCCCTCGCTCGCCCAGACGCACAAACAAACGAAGGCTGCCCGGGCCTCGCAGCTATAATAGCAACAGCCCGCCCACGCAGGAGAGAGACTGCACAGAGAGAGAGAGAGAGAGAGAGAAGGAGAGAGGCCGAAGCACCAGCACCACCACCAGTGACCCGGCCAAGCTAAGGTACCGATCGATCGAGGACGGGGAGGAGATGGCCGCCTCTGGGAACAACAGGTTCGGCCTTACGCGCGCTCAGGTGCAAACCCCGGTCCCGGTCCCTGTAGCGACGGGGCCGGTGGGGGACTGGAACACCGGCGCCACGACCTTGTCGCTGTTCCCCGTCGGCACTGGCACTGGCAGACAGAGCCAAGGACCTGATGCAGATGGCAGGTTCTGTGGCCGGGAAGGCGCCGGAGAAGGGGGTGACGACCGCCGTGCCAGAAAAGGCGGAGATCAGTGATGAGCCATCGGCTGCAGGGGCAGGCATGGCGCCCATCGCAAGGAAGCTGACGCTACAGAGGTTCCTTAGGAAGAGGAAGGACAGGTGAGGAGAGATCACATGCACTCTCACATCTGAGATCCCCTATATATATCTATGGGATGTGTCTAATCAGTAATTTCTTTCTCGGTGCTATTTGGAATTTTGGATAGAGCACTGGATGATAATGGACGTGTGTTATTACTCGCAGGATCGCCGGCACTGACGACACTGACCACAATGAGGATGCTTGGCCGTGGAAGAAGAGAGACTCCGCCGGCGCCGGCAACAACCCCGCGGAAGACGTGCCTGATGATGCCTCGTGGCTCAGGCTCTGAAACCCTTCACCGTTTACAGGAGAATAATAATATTGATGAGAAGGGGAAGGAGTGCTGGCATGCATGCCATACATCCTCAGAGATGATACTGCCGTGCCTGTCTCAGAAGTCTTAGGATCTCCTCCTAAGAATTCTAAGGTCCTGTTTTCAAGAGTCGTAGCTTTTCTAAAAGCACCTCCTTAAGAAGTTTTTTAGAAAAGCTTGAGAATGAGATGGTTTCTCTGTCTTTACGAAGTGTAGCTTTTGGAGCTTTTGTCAGCTTGAAGAAGCAACCCTGTTTAGGGAAGCTTGTGGCTTTTCGAGATTTTTGAGGGAGCAAAAGCTGAAATAAGCTTCCCCAAACAGGACCTTTAGACTATCTGTCTTTTGACATAAACTAACATAAGCTTCCTCAAACAAGATACAAGGAAGAAGTTTAAGGTAGACGGCATAGATAGTGGAAGAACAACGAGTGAGTACAAGAACCTAAGTTACTTCTGCTACTAAGCACAACTCTAGTAAAGGCTATAGCCAAATAATTAAGCAAAGAAATAGCATGGTTCAATAGCATTTAGGGGCACAGACTAGACGCCAACCAAAAGGGTGATAGAAATAAGCACCCAAGGAGGCCTACTTTTTGAGAGCTATCCCTAACGTGGTGGAATACATAGGTTGGACACTATAGTCATCACCTGCCAACTACCATAAACTATCCAAGGGCTAGCTATAATCCTAGGCAAGTTATAATATAAATACCACATTTACACTTTGAACTTACTACACTCTAACCTTGGCCATGATGAATCGATTAGAGCACTCTAAAAGTGCGGTGATCTCATTCTATGATATAACTAGACTAAACAAGACAATTGATTATAACACAAAGTTTTACTAAAGCTTCAAGACTACTATTGTAAGTAAGTAAGACACTACCACAGATCTGGACATCACTGCCGGTTCAAAATCCCACTTCACTGCCGGATTTTGAACCGACAGTGGCATACACTACGCCAGATTCTAACACTAGGAACGGGACATTTTTACGGTAGAGGCGGCTGGGGTTAGGGGCGTCCCCACAGTGGGCATCCTCGGACCTCATCAGCCCAACCACCCCCTACAGATAGCAATTGTGAGGCGGCTAGTAACTGAGCCGCCTACTGGGCTTGGGGCTGATCTCTGCAGGCGGCTCAATCACCGGCCGCCCCCTGCGGTGCCCATTTGTAAGGGTACGGGCACCGGCCGCCTGTTGTTCGGCCTGATCAGAGGGGCGGCTGAATCACCAGCCGCCCCTACTGATGGCGCACGAATAAATAGCAACCAAAATTTAAAATGTTCAAATTTAGTCAAATGATAAGATAACCAAAATAAAAGTTGTAGATTTTGATGAGTTGAACAACTTTTGTATTCATCACTTTTACATCTGAAATCATTTAGGGTTTGAAAATTTGGTTTGAACTTGTCAAATTTCTAATTTCAAATTTTAAAATGTATAAAACTTTGTCACATCCAAGTTTGATCAAACTTAAATGCTGAAGCATGATTTTAGAATTTTTTAGGAAAAAAACCATCACATTTGGAGTTAGTATGCGGGAGAACAACTAGTTACAAAGTTTACCCACAGATTAAAAAGAGAAATCACACTGTTCTAGATGATCCTTACATGATCATAGTGAACAGTGTGATTTCTTTTTTTAATCTGTGGGTCAACTTTGTAACTAGTTTTTCTTCCTCATACTAACTTCAAATCTGATGATTTTTTTCCCTAAAATTTTATAAAATCATTCTCTATCAATTTATTTTGTTGGTTTTGTCAATATATACATATGAAAAGTTTGAGTAATTTAAATTTTGAATTTCAAAAAAATGCAACTTCAGACAAGATTTTGGTACCCCAAATGATTTCAGCTGAAAAAGTGATAAATACCAAAGTTGAATAACTCATCAAGATCTACAACTTTTGTATTGGTCATTTTTCATATGACAAAGTGGTAATGACATTGTTCACAAATGTGACACATCTCTCATAAGATTTTATAAACTATATGAGACATGTGTAAGATTAGTAAACAATGTGTGGTAAGAATTTATCAAATGAAGAAATGACCAAAATAAAAGTTGCACATATTCATGAGTTGAACAACTTTTGTATTCATCACTTTTGATGTTGAAATCAATTTGGGTCTCAAATTTTGGTTCGAACTTGTCGTTTTTCAAAATTTTAAATTTGAAAGGTTCAAATTTTGTCAAATGACAAGATGACTAAAATAAAAGTTGTAGATATTAATGAGTTGAACAACTTTGGTATTCATCACTTTTTATGTTGAAATTATTTTGGGTCTCAAATTTTGGTTCAAACTTGTCATTTTTTAAAATTTCAAATTTGAAAGGTTCAAATTTTGTCAAATGACAAGATGACCAAAATAAAAGTTGTAGATCTTCATGACCTCTACAACTTTGATGTTTATCAAATTTTCATTTGAGATCATTTGGTGTCTCAAAATTATTTTAGTAGTTTGATTTGATTTCATACAATGATCCACATCTAGCGCAAGGCTCATCATCTGGGCCGTCCACCTCGCGATCGGACGATGGGGACGGAGTCTGAATCACACGGGATCTCCCCAGCGAGGAGGGGGCCGCCTGGAAGGTGATCAGCCGTGGCGCCGCGGCGGTATACAACAGAACCCCAACCCAGCCTCTCTCCTCCTCCCCCCGTTCCGCCTCTCGCGCTCGCCTCTCGAGGACCCTCGCCATCCTCCCTAGGCGCACCACCAAACCCCCAGCGGCGGCGCTAAGGTTTGCTTCTCCGCGCGTCGACACTGCAACCTCCGCCTGTGGCGATGACGGGGCAGGAGCGTAGGACAATCGATCTGGAGGAGGGATGGGCGGTCATGCAGAAGGGCATCACCAAGTTGAAGAACATCCTCGAGGGCAAGCCAGAGCCGCAGTTCAGCTCCGAGGACTACATGATGCTTTACACGTATGTCTCCCTCTCCCCTCCCTCCTCCTCCTCCTCCTAACCACCGTCGCCTTCGTGGCGGCGGCCGCTAGGGTTTCCCAACTTGATCCGCTTCGATCCTGTTCTGATCTAGGGTTTTGGTTCCCTTGTCGCAGGACGATATACAACATGTGCACGTAGAAGCCGCCACACGACTACTCGCAGCAGCTTTACAACAAGTATCAGGAGTCGTTCGAGGAGTACATCACCTCCATGGTGAGCCGCCTGTTCATATCCCTCTTGCTCATGTGAATGTCTGTCTTCGACCTAGATTGTTTTGTATCTGCGGCGTGGTATTAGGGTTAGATTTCCTACCCTGAGGGAAATAAGCCAGTTTGGATGTTTTTTTAGCTTTGGTGGATTAGCGCTTGGTTGGTTGATTGGTTGGGACGAGAACGGCCTTGGTGTATATGGGGATGTTCTCGTTTCCTTTTGGTTTTCTTCTAAATAATACAATGCTTGCCGATGACTAGTCAGGTTCATTCACTCTGTAGATGGACATTCTTTTCTGGGGAAAAAATGAGGGTTGTTTGTCATAGATGGTCGAACCCTTATACTATATAGAATTGGCCTGATCTGTTTGATTGTACTTTGTAAATGAACTAACCAAAACTTTTTTATGCTGCAAATATTGCAGTGGTAGCGCTCTCTTCCCCTTCTTTTGTCCATCTCTTGATTTGTACAGGATAATAAAATCTCTTTAAAATGATTGTAATCATCTTGATTAGGTGAAACAATTGGTCCAGCTACTTTATGTGCCTTTGTAACAATTCTGTGCCCATTTATTTTGTACACTTGGGCTCGGTGTTCTGTTGGCTCCGAGAGATTCATTAGATGTCTTGTGATATCACCGTGGCTGTTTCCATTTGCTTTTTGTTGGAACTTGTAGTTTCTATTTGATTGTAATTTCACTCAAGGGTAGACAACAAACCAGGAGTGTTTCTTTCATTCTGTATTTTGACTTTTTTGGGGGAAAATGAGAGTTGTTTGTCATAGATGGTCAACCATTATAATAATATATATAGAATTGTGCTGATCTGTTTGATTGTAATTTGTAAATGGAGTAATCAAAACTTTCTTTATGCTGCAAATATTGCAGTGGTAGTTTTCTTTTCCCCTTTCGTCCATATCCTTTTTCTATAGGATAAGTTAAATCTCTTTAGTTTAATTGTAATAAGCATCTTGATTTGGTGGAACAATTGGCCTAGCTACCTCACAAACAATTCTGTGCCCATTCTTTGTACACTATAGCTCATTTCTTATAGATCATGTAGAGAGTACCTTTTTGTATTCTTGCAGCACCTTTTAATGGGCAGGAATTAGACACTAACCGATGCTATCTATGGCAGGAATAGTGCTCGACATATTTTCCCGTATGACCCTTACATTGTTATAATCTTGAATTTCGACAGAAAGTGCAAAATGAATTGCTTGCTCAGTATGCAACCCCGCTGTTGGAGAAGGAGCATTCTAGATGTTCTGCTTTGCTTCGTGATGATAAGGTTGGGTTGAAAACCTTATTATTATTATTATTATTATTATTATTATTATTATTATTATTATTATTATTATTATTATTATTATTATTATTATTATTATCTAATGAATGACTTCCTAACATTATTGAATATTCACTGCATCCCTCTATTACTATAGGTTGAGGATCTTTCTAGGATGTACAGGCTCTTCTCCAAAATCACCCGTGGTCTAGAGCCTATATCTAACATGTTCAAAACGGTAATAATTTCCCTTGCAGGGTGCCTCTTTTCTTTTTTAGCTCACTCATTTTATTCCTTTGAACCATGATATTCAGTTCTGATTGAGTTATATTTGTCCACAGCATGTTACAAATGAAGGCACAGCCTTGGTAAAGCAAGCAGAAGATTCTGCTAGTAATAAGAAGGTGCAGTGTTTCTTTAGCTGTTAAATTATTTATGTTATCTTTATGCACTTTTTGATTCATATATATAAACAGAAAAACCTCCACATTAATAGTTTGTAACAACCTTCATCTAACCTCTAT